TTCAGCTGAGGCAGGAGAGGCGGTTGGACCGGCGCCGTGGTCGGTTCAGTACAGAATCACAGCCCTGGATCAGGAACAGAGGGAAAGGCACAGACTGAGGTTTCAGAGTTGAAAGAAGTGTTTGCCAGTCAGGGAAACATTCAGACACTGAGACCAGAAAGAAACGGAGCCCTACATGACACTGGAGCTGAGGTCCAGCAGACTGTGACTGAGTGACAGGGTCTGTGGCTGAAGATGGCCGTGCAGTCATCACACCACGCCAACTGGCACTCTGAAACAGGATCTGTTTTTCTCCACCCCAAAGGGACTCTTTGGAACTCGCTGCCATCACTCTGTCTGAACCTTGCTCAGGGCCACTGCAGAGAGGAATTAAGGATGTGTGTTTTAGTGCTGGTGCTGCCTGACAGTCAAGTGGGTTTCACTGGGAACTTGTTCTCAGAGGTCGCTCCAAAATGTCTCCACTTCAAGCCCCGTTCCCAGTCGGAAGGGCAGAATTTTAAAAGACGTATGATGGAGCCAGGAGGACCTGGCGGCCCCTTCAAACTTGCAGGCACACTGGAATTATGGAAGAGGGTCTGGGAGCATGACAAAAGTGAATAGATATCTCAAAAGAAAGGCTTGGAGTCCATGGGTGTGCAGCCAGTGAGGGCTCTGAGATGAGAGGCTGATGATGGGATGGTAGGGGAATGCAGATAGAATAGCTGTGTGTGTGTGTAGGTATGTATTTTTAACTGCAAAACAAAATAAATCAACAACAACATGTTCAAAGGAATGGGAAGAAACTGAAAATTATTAAATCCTAAACCCTGTTAATTCACTATATACTATAATAAGCAAATACATATACAGTAGTCCCTCGTTTATCGCGGTAGCTAGGCTCCAAGGCCTGCTGCGAGAACTGCATTTCCGCGAAGGAGTGACATCATATTTATGCGCCGTAAAATGATGACGAGGAAGGTGATGATGACTTTTACCGCGCAGCCGACGATTGATTTTACGTCTCTTCAAAGGGTGGTGCCATTTCTTGGGGCACATCTTCCATGGTTTCCAAAGGTGTATCCGTAGTAGGAGCAGGAACCGGCGAACATTGTGATCGGCAGTTGCTTCCTCTGCTTCTTTTTCCAGTCGAAGAGTAGCTTGTAGGCAGTCACGACGTCGTCGATTTTGTTGCATTTTTTGTTGCATCTCATTCCTGCGAGATCTCTTGCAGATCCAAATCCGGGATACAGTATATTTTATATATACAGTTTCGAAAACCCGCGAAGTCATGAATCCGCGAAAGATGAACCGCGAAATAGCAAAGGGACTACTGTGTGTGTATGTGTATATATATATATATAAGTCACAATAAGACACAAGTGATAATAATAATAATATGAGACAATAAAGGCAACACACTGTATTACCTAATGTCTAATACAGTATGTGTACATATATATAGTAGTCAAGCTTTCTCTCCATAATAACTTATTTAAATGAGCTCCCTGGTGTAAGGCCTGGTGGTAACTGGTATTTGCTTTCGTTTGTAATATTATCGTATAAGATATTTCTGCTGGCTACCAATGGTTTATTTTTACAGTTACGGTAATTAAATCTATTGTAGATTTCAGGACAGTCTAACGAAGAAAAGGTTGACGTTCTGTGTGTACGACAGATCCATAAATATGATCAAAAGTTCTGCACTTCATCGATGTTCTGTCACTGTTACAACCTGGTGATATTAATTATGCCTCATCAGCAGCTCTTTAGGTCTTTGTCCACTGTTGACAGGCCAATATACAATAAGACTTTGGTTGCGCTCGGGTCATTACTTATAGGAGAACGACGCGCAGTCTATTTTGCTCCCACTAATGTTTACAGATGTCGTCTATATCGACTTGGCGAGCGGCAGCTGTGCTACCACGCTTCAACTCGGCTCAAACCAGCGAGCGTCCTCGGCAAAGATTATGATTATTTTCTCTTGTCACTGTTAAAATGGGGAAAATTGATTATCAATACGCCTGTCCACGAGTGTGTACACCACAAATCTGCCATGCATCATCTGCATCACACACAGTTGTATAAAATAGATTACTGCGTGTACTTGTCGTGGATGATGGATTGTCACGAACTGGATCCATACACTCAAAAACCTTATCACAAATAGGTTGACAGTGACAGAGGAAAGTGAGTGACGTGGTTAAGCAGACACAGGAGGAGGTGGACGGAAGAACACGCAACTTCTTCTGCTACAGTTCACTGATTGATCTGAAAAAACTTCAGGATGGTTGCAAAAAAAGAAAGAAAGAAAGATCTTTCTGCTTCTTCAGCTTTGGAATATAATTGCTGCAAGGTCATAAATGTTGGTTAGTGGATAAAAGGCTGTAGAGAAAAAGATTGAAAAGAATGAATAGAGAACAATTAATGCAGTTTGCCCTCTGTGGACAAAAAGGTCATTTACACACCCCTACTGCCGAGGTATTTATGTCTGACAAGGACGAGGCCTCTTTAGTGTCGTGTTTACAAAGCTAACGCAGAGAAGATACTACAGTATACAAGGTTAATGCAGCGACTAAGTGCATCTTCTACACAATACCATGTGCATCACGTAATGTACTCTTCTAGTGAAGAACCGTTATTTAATACACGTTTTGTACCAATGTTTTTTCACCACTTCAGTTATGAAAAGTTTTGTCCTTTTCGAAGCTAACATGAAGATGTTCTACAGTTCTCTGTAAGGGTTCTCAGTGACAAAACTGCCATCCGGATTTTGATTTTTTTTTTTTTTTTTGTCAAGCAGTGACAGAGACTACAACAGGAAGTAGCCGAAGAGTAGTTTTCAGTCTGAAAATATATACACTTTTAGAAAATGTTTTTCCCTTGTGTAGCTAAAGTCTGTTTTCCTTGTAGTCTTGCAGAATGGCTGCAAGCCCGATTATTAGCCCGATATTAGCATAATTGCATCATATCTGTAATAATCGTTATTGGTTTTCCTCCGATAATGAAAACTTGGCAACGCAATGCCTGGATTTCACCAAATGATGTGTGACCTAAAAGTAGTTTTGTGGGAAAATGGCTGTATATGAAAGTGAAAGTCACTAGATAGCAGCATTGTGGCTCATTTTATTAATCTTTTTTAATAATCAGGGGATTGTAGGCATAATGCTGGTGCCAGCAACTCATACAGTGGTTTGTACAGATTAATAAATACATATTACCAGGCCCTTAACAGTATTTAATTCGGGGTATAAACACTTCTGTCCCCTAGTGGGAGCATAGCAGAAAATATTTGAGAAACACTGCTTTAACCCACCCAACCATCAGGTCACCACTCATACTACATCAGTATCGGTTGATATCGGAATCAAAAAAGTGTTTGGACAATATCGACATATCAGAAAGTTAATATGGGACATCTCTAGTACACAGGATGTTGGTCAAAGACTAAAATAACTAAGTTGTAGACGTGTATGCTAATATACATGAATTAAAGGTGAGTAAACAGAGAAAAGCTCCAGATGAGACAGATATCAAACCGTTTACCCAGACATTCTGAAAAGACAAGACGAGATGTTCATGGTGACAACACACATATTTCCACTGACTGACTGAGTGTCGTATCCTGTTCCCTAAAGTAACCGTGTCCCGGAGTTGTGTTTCTGATTGTATCTGCACAGGCATCGGAAGACCCCAAAAGTGAAACTTTCATTGCTTTCTGTACCTTGTTCTGTTCCTACAAAACGCTTCACTTGTCACCACAGGCTCCCGAGCTACTTTAATAAAAGGCTCCAAACAAAATTGTCTGCCTTTGAGTGGCAGAGTGTGACTGTTTAAAACCACTGGGATTCTAAGTTTAATCCTGCAGAAGACACAGGAATAACCTAAATTTAAATTTGCCTTCTAGACACGTGAAAGGCTACAAATTAAAAGCAGGTAGCTTATTAAAAAGCCTAATAAAAGTGTACGTGTGTGGCAGTGACGTGCGGTAAGGTTCATGGCTGGTGAGGCACTGACTCCTCTGGAGTCAGATTTACAATTGTAAGAACCAAAAAGATTATCTTATTTCACTATTCATCCAACAGCATCTGGTTGTCATGGTTCATATCCATCAGCATTCCTCTTTCAATGACACTGACACCAACACAAACATATACACAGGAACATAGTTCAACAAGTATAGAGATAAGTGCAGCATTTAATTTCATTTTGAAAATTCTGTTATTTCTCAAACTTTAAATTCTGGTGCTTTAATCAAAGGTTGTCTATCAGTTTGATAAGAAAAAAATATATATTTTAGGCCAACAATTTAGTTATCAAATACTTGAATTCTTGTCTACTTATTCCCATCGTATTTTTAAAAAACAAAAACCATCTTTAGCCTTACTTTTACTTATGGATGAAGTCCGTGGTTGTATCTCTCGGTTTTCCTTAGCATTGTGGACGCTAATGTTTAGCCTGCGTTGCTCATCCAATGAAAAATCGATCCTTGAATTTCCAGAAGTTTTTAAAGAAATCTGGCTTTGAATGTTCGTGGCTGATCTTTCATGTCCGCTGAGGCTTCTTTGCAAATTTTTAGGTCCCAGTATCCCGAGTTAGTCCAGACGCTATCAGGCTGTTTCTTACGGGACAGCCACACAGCCAGTGTTTTCGTTTGTACCAGTACATTTAAAAAGAACGATTCTTCTGTCCCGTAGTTTGAAGTTAACCTTTTAGGTGTTGGTCTTCCATTACTAATCATCTTCTGTCTGAACCGGAAGTCCAGTTTTGAGCAATGTTTACGTCTTGAAATACAATCCATAGTCAGTCGGATCAGGAAGTGCATAAAAAAACGCTGTTCTTCACCTATTACTGACTGTATCTTGGAAAGCACCTGTCAGTTCACGTACGACCCCCCTGGGGTGAGGCGGAGTATTGTTTGTTTAATAAAATGTCAAAACTCTGTAAAGTAATACTGAAAATGCATCGGTGGAAAATATTAATATTGATTTTATGTGTTTGTTTCTTTTTTTTCATAATGGCAGGTGGGAGGCAGCCTATCGTTGAGACCTATCGCCGCTGTGTTCCTCAGAGCACTTATATAATATGAATAAAAAGGTAATTTCGCAATTTCTAAAGACGTTAGTCCACTTTAGTACCAGGTTAAAGCTGTAGTCGTCACTCAGCCTTTTAGCTACTGTAACCTATTTCAAAACCTAGCTTTAAACGAACAAAGAAAAATGCAACAATTACAATTTGTGCAGCAAATCTCTTGATTTGTGGTTTTCATGCCCTAAGGGGCAAAACCAACTTTTTCCAACCACTGTTTCTGCTTTGCCTTTTTTTTTTCTTTTTTTTTCTGCAGACAGCTGTCTGAGACAAGATGATGCTTTCACTGGAGACCTCACTCCTTTCACTCTCATGCTCACTAGCTCCTTACTTGCCATTGAACAGCCCAGAAATGGGGCAGATAAGAGTTCAGTGAGGAAGCACAGGCTTCGGGAGGTCTGGTGGGAGGCAGCATGTTTCTTAGGGCGCCGTCAAAAAAATCTTTTGATGCATAAAAATGTAACGGCAAGCAGAGTGAAGAGAGCACGGAAATGTGTGGAGGACAAATATCTGTTGATTGAAGTTGAATTTCTGCACAAAGGGGTTCGTAAATGATCCCATCACTGCCATTTCAGTAGAAATTAGTGTGGGAGAATATTAAAAACGGTGAGAAAGAGGATTAAACTGGGATAAAATATGATCCAAAAAGTCAATTACCTGTAGCTAAAAGAAATGACTCACTGGTATACAGAGGAAATCACCATGTCCTGTCCCCACTACAAGAATTAACTGTCTATTATAAAAGTATTAATAATCTCCTAAGTGCACTGTTGATGATAAATCACTGCAGAGAGTCACAGCAAGGGACAATAAAGTTGGCTGGCACCAAAAGCCTGTCTATCAATCCATCCATCCATCCATTAGCCATACTTACGATGCTTTTCAGGGTCAGCGAGGACGCTGATGTCAATATCAGCTGACAATGTGCATGGGACATCCATCAGGCCAACAAATCAAATTGTGGTCGCAAAAGCGTAAAAAATAAATAAATTAAGTTGTGCTGCCATAGCTGAAATATAATAGAAATATAAGAATATAAAATATAATGATGGACACAACAGCTAATCTGTGGAAGTTAGGGCCGTAATCAACCAAAGAAAGTAAAGGAAGTGTGAAGTTTCGACTGCTAATCCACCAATCAGCATATGTATAGATAGATAAATAGATGGATGGATAGATAGGTAGTTATAACATATATTTATATGCGTATATATAGCGTATATATCGCTGAAATAACTATTTATTTATTTATAACTAAAAAAATGAAAAATACAATGGTGAAACAGCTGGTTGGCAGTTTGTGTTTAAATTATTTATTCTTTTATCAAAGAAAAAGTTGTAAGAGACTAAAAATTTTTTTTTAATGTGACTGTCAGCGGTCGACTGTAGGGGGCGCGCTGTTATTGGAATGTTTGTGTAACGGAAGTAGGAATACGTTGTACGGTCCTTATTTCCGGTCGCCGATCCAGCACACGAGAGACGAGTGTTAGCCGTTTGGGCTTCCAGCGGGCGTTCAAGTAAAAGAAAACTGGGCACAGTGGCTACATGTGATTGATTGAAATGGTGGGTTTTTAACAAACAAAACCAATTGTCAGTTGTATTTTCTTTGAAACGGTAGTCGTTCGGTCGAGACCGTTAATGCAGTTTACGTTAGCATATGCATCTCGGCAGCTAACGTTAGCTTTTGTCAGAAGTTAAAATGATTCGTAATTAGTTTTTCGTCCTAAATAATGAACATAGAGTTGTCGTGGTAAATACGAAATTAGCCTTAGGAGTTTAAGCTGGTCTGGACTTTTTAAAAATATGAAATTAACCTGCAAATATTGCTTTTTTTTTTTACACAAGCCCATCCTACTGCAGGGTCACGGACGGTCCATCACTCAGATGAAGTTCAACGGAGAAGGAGACCTTCTGTTTTCCGACTTTCAACAATGTCTCCCCACAACAGGTGGCCAACGTGTGGTACTCGGTACCTACGACGGACACATGGGAGCTGTGCGGTGCATCGACTGTGACTGTATCCTTTATTATTTAGCTGCTGTCGTGTCCTCACCAAGGATGTCATCAGTTGATCTCACTAATAATTAGTGATATGAAGGCCCTGACATTTCCTGAGTAGTGTCAGAAAATATAATTGAAGGTGAACTCAAACAATAAATGCAATAAACAAGAGAAGACTGACATACGGCAACAATGTTATGACATTAAAGGTTATGTTATCTTGATTTCATGCTATTATATATATATATATATATATATATCAGAAAACCTCTGCATTTGTTTTCTTGTTTCAGTGACGTTTCACACAGCATGATGTGATTCAGTTCTGCTAACTGTTCCCGAACTGTGTGGTAAGTTTTGAACTTTTATCACTAAAAATGTGATTAAAGTAAAAACTGGTTTTAAACTGG